TACAATTACTCGCGATCCAACAAATATGTTCGCAGCCAAGACGCCAAAAGCTGATAGACAGACGAAAAAGGATAACGCACGAGCTAACTTAAAGCCGCCGACTTCTAAAGCGAATTGGCCAGCAATAATTTCTGAAGGTTCATCATTGCCGGTTATATTTAATAACGGTATATTCGTGTATGCGATATTAGCACAAAGGTCTAATATATAAAAATCCATACATTAATATCGATATATTAAATATTAGCAACGCGTGACATTCGCAGAGTAAATAATACATACACAAGAAAGTAACAATAACAACACTAATACTATTTGAAGTGAGTAATTTTTCTTCTGGTTCGACGAATTCATCCAAAGTATCTAAAAAAAAGGTTTGAGTATCCGAGTTTACTGAAGCGTATATAAAAAATTTTTATCACTTACAATTTAAATTATTCCATCCATTATATGCAAATAAAATAGGAATGAGTGCAGCAGTCAAAGAGCGTGCACCAATATTCATATCATTAGGAAACATATTTTTCCAATTCGTGTCGTTTTCGTTAATAAACCGAGAAATTGTTGCTAGTCCAATAATCGATATCACTAACAGTGTCAACATTTTTATAATTGTAAGAGTTTGATTTATACGATTAGCCCATTTGTTAGACCGAATGTGATAACCTGTGACTATAACTACTGCAGCTAATGAACAAAGTCGTAATTGCCTAATGATAGAAAAGAATGGAAGTTTAGGTGCGTGAATCCCATATAATTATTATTGACATTTCTCTTACCAAAATTTCCAATCAACAATGTATTCCTTTGGGTGCAAGTAATCACTGTCACACTGTACTTTCGCTTTGATTAAATATAAGAAATATTGCGCGAAAACATTCGCATCAGCTGAGATATAAGCTGGTCGTATTGCCACAATCATTGCAAAACTAAACATATAACTTAATAGTGCTTTTGGATGAGGATATGCTTGTTCCAAATACACAGTTTCTCCACCTCCATCTGGTATAGAACTTCCTAACTACATGTATTACAAAATTAGATTGAAACATAATAATATTAAACATTAATAAAAAATAAATACCTCGACATAAGAGAGTGATCCAAACAAGGAGGCAACTCCACCCACGACCCATAAAATTAATGCTAACCCAGGAGACCCAATTTCTCTTAAAACTAAACCCGGACTTGAGAATATTCCAACACCAATCATGTTATTGCAGTTATTCCCAATACCAGCAAAAGTTCCTAAAAATTGGGTTCTTTCCGCCGATATTCTGCTGGAAACGCCGCTTTCAATGACGCTTGACGTATCACTAACATTACTCATTGTTTTTAATTTATATTTATTGTGATTTTTTTTTTGACAATTCATGAATTTATAAAGCTGTATAAATAGATATATTCACGAACGCAAAAATCCTGTGTTTCCAAAGCACAAAATCTTAACAAAGCCTTTTGGTATAATTTTCTCAATGCATACGTATTTAGTTGTACATGTATATAGTTAGAAATTTTCATTCAATAACGAATAACTAATGTCCCGCTGCAGTTATTTTTAATATTCTGATAATACTAGATGTATACAAGAAAGCCAAAAGATAAGTTTTGTGGCACAGTATCAGAGGTGTTATACGGCATAGTTAAAAGGGGTTTAGAAATAAAACTCCTGATAAAAGCAATTTCAAATGTGACTCACTAACGTTAATTTTGTTTTGTAATTCAAATTTCTTGAGCGTAAAAATCTATATCTCTAACAAAAACATTTCTGTAGGCAATTCATTTGTTCTTTTGGTTTACAACATCCATATTTGATCTTTTATTAATGCTTTTAGTTGTACGTAACGACAGTAGGGGTCACAAGTAACTGATCTACTCTAAATTATGTAATTGAATATTTTTTTCATTTTAAACCTCACGATGAATCATACTGTTTAGCACTGTATATAGTATCACCCAATACTAATATCCCCCATGACTGTGTAGTCACTATATATAATTCTCTATACAATATACCCCTAAATATAATATCATCTGTAGAAGATATATTACTCCACTGGTTTCATACACAATACCCACGGGTACTATTCAATTTATAAACTACAATTTTTGAATAAGACCCTTGATACTATATACACTGTTAAAAGGTGATATATAGTATAGTCTCCATTGGCCTCTATTAGTGCCAAAACACGATTTTTCATGCTATCTTTATTTGGCAATTTTACAAGTTCATTAAAAAGGAAATTGCATTTTTAACCAATTTGAACATGTACGTATCGCCCATCAATTATATCATCTGTTGACAATGAAAAATTGATTTTCATCGATTTCGAATGCCGAAAAAAAATGAATCGGTCACTTTGGTACGCGATATCACACCGTCCAGTGATCCAATTCAAACAAGAATATTACCATTAGATTCGTCTGGTCGAAACGAATCGGATGTTAGTATTTTTGTTTGCATCGGATCACTTAATGATGTGATATTACATCCTAAATTAACATTTCGTATTGCTTGTGAAAAATTGCAACAATGTAAAATCTTAAAAAAATGCAGTGGACATCAAAAAAACGCACTACTTGTATTGCAATCTAACGAGTGTATAATAAAAGGCAAACAACATCTAACACAGTCCTATAAATATACAAATGTTCCCTCTTTGTTTTGACAATTCTAATTATTTTAATATGAAAAATATAAAAATTCCATAATGAAAAAATTCACTAACACTTATTTTATTTAAATAAGGTAGTTTTAAAGTTTTCAAAATGCAAAATTCAAGAATATTTACAGATCACAGAAAATAATAAATAGTACTATGAAAAGTTAATTTTTTTTAACACAATGGCCTTTTGTGTAATAATTAAACTTTATCATATAAAATTTTATAACATTTTGAATAGAAATGATTAGTTTACAAGCTTTAAAAGATAAATTAAATCTTTGAAATATTTTTTGTGAAATTTAAATAAGAAATTGGCCTATAATACTAAGTTTTTCGGGTTCGATTTTTGATACTTTCAAATATTTTCATAAAGTTTGGAATATTGTTTGTGCAAAACATAAAAATATTAAACTTTTTTAAACATATATAGACATATTTGAATAATGAATTTACTTTAATAATATATATTTGTTTTCCAAATATAAATAAACATTCCTTATATATAGTAATTTATTTTTATGATAAACTTATATAAGGTTTCCAAACCTTATAAAAATACAGTAGTAATTATAAGTATCCAACCACTCATTATTGTCCAAATTTATATTATAATGATCATTAAAATTTTCTGGGTGTTAAATGTATATTTATAAATTGTTAGAGCTTCTATATTGGATATTTTATATTCTTAAACTTTCATGCTCTAATTACAATAAATCTGTTACGTATTTTTAGGACATAACGATAATATTTTGATGTACAACAATCTGATTTGAGCAAAAATACTAACTGATCATTTCAAAGTCAAATGATATCACAATCTTATCGTTATCGTTATTCAAAAAAATTAAAAATTAAAAATAAACTTTGTGACGTCATTATAAAAATGAATAAATGACTCACTAAAACTTTATTGGTTGAAAAATGACCTAGGGTCATTTACCATTACTGGGGTTACGCCGAAACATACCAAGGGCGCGCAAATTTTTGATCAGCTGGCTAATCAAATCCGGCAGAAAACACAAAAATGCGAAAAATAAATGCCTAAATCTAGCTTGGAGTATTAATAAAAAATGTCAGGAAGACATATAATCTTGTCCTCCGCTCTAACCCTAACCCTGATTTTAACTCTAACGTTAATTTCCTAATTTTTCGGGATCGGCGTAACCTCCAGACCTGCTTACGGCGAGTTAGAGAGGTCGATTACTTATCGTTGGCCCTAATGTAAATGTAACAGGTTGCGATACAAAAATTTCAAATGAAACATATTCGGTTCCATATTACATGTATTAGGTTATAACGACTTAACCGCTTTATCGCTATTTGATCTTTATTTGCGCGTTAATTTCCAAGAAAATCTATCACTGTCGTTATATCTGGACTAAAAATTAGATATCGATACTCTGCTACATAATACTATAAATTACCGTTACAAAACTAAATAAATTGAAAATTTACAGACGACTTCACACTTCTTTCAAATTAGCCGTGCACATGTGTTGAACCATTTACACTACTACCACCAGTCCTACGAGCACTCTCAAAAGAAGTTACTTTTGGACTACCCAAACCAGATCCAGGCGCCGTTCCGATATGTAGAGGTTCTTTTGGTGCTGAAGATATTGGCACATCATAAATTCCAGTTATATCTTCCTCATGAAGATTTTGTGAGGTTGGTGTGTATTCGCCGCGATTACGACAGTAGTGGAATGCGTGGAATGTTCGAAATATGAGATTGTTGACGAGGATCACTGAGGATATTACTAGTGTTAGAAAAGGAATAATGTCGTATGCAATTGTGTATTTTTGGTATAAGATCTATTAAGAATTTATTGGTTAGCGAAAAATAAAATTTTCGAAATAATAGTTTTAATAAAATTTTATTATTACCTGTATAGTAAACTGTGGAATATCTTCGATAAATAACGTAGCAAAACTCCCCCAAAAAATCCATCCAGTAGCTTTTATCGAAAATGGGGCACTAAACATCTTCAGTCCTGCAAATCGTGACCCGATTATTCTTATTGCATCAGCATCGGCACCGCTGATAATAGTGAAAATTGTGGTGATGCGCATATTCGAGTGGAACCATTTTGAAAATTCGTAGTTTTGCGCGGTTTCTCGGAGAATTATTAGGAATACTAGGATTCCATTAAATGATATTGAGAGGCAAAGGATGATGATACTGTACATGGCGGTTTGGTAGATAAGAAAAAGAAGATCTTAGTAAGAAAACGAGTGACGACAAGATGCGGCGAAATTTATTTACCTTGGATAAAATAGATTTGAAACGTCTTGCCCGTTGTTTATGATAAAAAGAATATCAAATGTGAAATCAACAAAAATCAATGCGAATTGAAAAACTATCGAATTATTTCCCTAATAAATAGAATTAATCATTAAATAAAACTCATTTATGATGATTATACTCGCTAAAAAAAAGAAAGCTTCAAATTACTTCTGGATATCGAAAATAACCAAACAAAAATGCTGTGCAAACAAGTATTATTCCACCACCTAGATAAAACAGTTTATACTTGAGTTTTTCCCATAAATTAGCTATACATAAAAAAATATAAATTCGATAAATAATAACATCTCAAATATTCATAAATATCTAAATCAAATTCAAAAAGTACAAACGTGCAGAAGTAAATCCATAATCCTCATCAAGCAAATAAGTAGAATTCGATAACGCAATCGGCGTATAAGCTTTAAACCGCACCAAAAAATCAATATCTGTAATTATACGCTTAGTATTAATTTTTGAATTTTGCAATGCTTCAACTTTAAATTCCATGAGCACTTGTTGTGAAGCTGTCTTGGAGTCTTGTTGCCAGCGTTTTGAGGTGCTAAGACGATTGGCTTCAATTGGTGTGATTCGGATTAATTCGTTGCGAATATCGGTGAAGAATAAATTTTTATTCTCTTTTGACAAACTTTTAAAGTAGCCAGAACCTTCAGTAGTTAGTCGTAGTAGACAGGTTGTTCCGTCTAAAATAAATATTTTTTATATTAAAAAAAATTTTGCTGGATATTAAAAAATTAATGAAATTTTTTTACCTGAATAACGGTCAGAGTCATTATCTAGAAAATGGATTTGGTAAAATAAACAAATTTGAATTTAATAAAAAAAATAAAGCAGAAAATTAACCAACCACTACGATGCAACCGATACCCATTCTTCTTAATCCCAAGAATCGGTTCAGCTAATTCCTTATCTCTCACGAAATCATTATCCATTAACACGTAATAATTAGCGCCCGGCTGATTAAAAGTGCTCGGAAAAATTTGAATAGAGACACTATAATCATTATCGGTTGTCGACACAAATCCAGATAATCCGTAAATTGTTTGACGTAATAAATCTTCTCCATTTATGTCTGTTTGATAGATCGAGATATTACCAGTCGACTGTACGACCGGTTTTAAGAATGTCAAAGTGATGTTTTTTAAGGTATCGGTGACATTGGCGTTGATTTCTGGAGTTGTACTGTTTATTTTAGGATTTCCGTATCCTTTGTCTTGTTATCCAAAAATATTAATATTTTAGCATTAACGTCAATACTAGCGAAAATTTAGATGTAAGAGAAAATATTCACCATCGTTGAATCTCTTCAAATCAGTAGTTACAATACTAAAACTTGTATCAGTGACATTAGAAATACCCCACAAACTATTATTCGGTAATACATCATAAACATCCGACACACGCACATTGTCCGGAATATCCCACTTTTCATTCACAATTCCCTTTGAATCATAAATAAATCCAGTAACACTGCTATTATCTATTCCCTTCTTGTTATAAATAGTCATTAAAAATCCACCATAAAACAACGTCGAAATATCATTGACTTCATCTTTGGAATTCGCTAATGGTATATCTTCAATTTTATACACTGATCCACTAGTCAAAAACCACACTTGCTTAAATAGCACTTGTGTTTTGTTGCCGGAGCCTGTTTCTATTCTCAGCAGACACTTGAAACCATCAGCGTCGTATGGCGAGTTACAAGAGTAAACGTATAGCTTACTTAGTTGCTGAGTTGTTCCATATAGGAGAAAGGGTGTCATGAATTCTTTAGCAGCTGGTCGTAAGAATGTCACGTAGACTTCCCAGTTTGCAAATAAAGCTTCGGAAATATTATCTTTGTTTGATTGTGTTTCGTGTGTTTTGTTTAGTGCGTATGCTAGGCCATACCCCCCGTCTAGCATTGCAAATGGAATTGCAGAATGTGCTGCAATCGAAAAATTTCCGCTTGAGAGTTGCGTGATTTTCCCATTTTCATTGCTATATATTTCAAATTCATGAAAAATTAATATTGTTAATAGAATGGAAAGAAATATTTTTATAATAATTACACTGTGCTGTATTTTATCCATCCAAGTGTATTATTCATTGAAACGCTATATAGCCATAAGAATCCATTATCAGGTTTAAGATTTTCAACTAATATCCCTGAACTTGCAAAATCTTGTATAGGAGTCATTTGAAAGGAACTGCAAAAGAAAAATTAATCTAAAAATCTTTTTTGCAAAAAATTAAAAATAAAAACTCACTCTTTGACAGTCCCATCCAAATCCATCAATAACCCAACACGATGATAATTGTAATCATTATCCGTGCCAATTTTCTTTGTTGCATTGATATATGATACCAGAAAATACGGTAGCTTCAGAACTTTACTAAAAACCTTATTACCCCACTTTTCACACACCAATGATTGCATTGGCGACGGCAAATCGATATCTATTCGTATGACACTCAAGTCTAGACGAATTATCCGGAAATATTGTCGTGACTGTATACAAGTGTTGTTTGGATTTTGTTTCGCTAGCCATAGGAAAAATGATAAGTCGTTAAAGTGTTGGCTGCTTTGTGCTATTAAACCCGGGTCGGTCTCTGTGAACTTGTAAATGTTGTAGGCTTGTGCTTTTGTTGGTGATTTGTTTATTAGTAATGGTGGTGATAGTGATAGTAATAATAGTATGAACGAGCATATGGAGAAAGTTCTTGACATCGTCGTTAGATTTTTTTAATAATTCTATCTGCTATTTTGCTATTATCGTTATTTAATAGCAATACAATAGTATTCTCGGTATTTACCGTATAGCGTTAGCCCGAAAGATTGTACATGCACCACATACGTAATAATACAAAATTGCCCATTTATCCATTTTTGTGACAAGTACAATGCAAAATCACCCCCCCCATAAGAACCTCCTACAAAAAATATATTATCAACCAATAGATACACAATACTTCTATAAGAGAAATTGCCTTACAATAGAACACCTTTTATAATTTGATTGTGTTCTTTTGTGGAGGTTTGACTCTATACTAATAACAACGATAATTTCTTATACTACATGTAATACATGTACCAATAATTCATGAGAATTCAAAAATTCTATTTAACGTAGTCGTTGTTGCAGAAAAATCCAATTTGTACATGTATCTTGTTGCACAAAATTTAAATTTAAAATTGTACATCATTACACGTACTGTAAGTACGTACTTTGAATTGGTGCGTGATTGTTATTTGGAGCACAACCTCTCCTCTGCATATAACGATACGATAATATTACCATTACCGGTAAAATGTTGATTTACTTAGTTAAGAAGTTGAAAGAATGAATTTTTAACATGAAACATATTTGTATTTACATGAACATGTACATGTAAATACCAGATTTCTTTCTTCATCAGCTTGAATGTACAGATCCTGATAAACGCGTGTCCTACGTATTTAGAGTAATGAATACAAACTATTGGACACACATTTCACAAATAAATATAATACATGTATGAAAGTGCCTTATCGTTATTTTTTGGTGAAACTTTATAACTTGATTGCAATACCCATTTTTCGTTGAACGGTGATAAAAGAGAATCCGGAAGATCTCTAAAATTATCAAGGCGACAGAACATTTATGACCTAATTTTCTGGTTTGTCTTTATATTAATAGTTCATTCGGATCTAAATATTTGTACTTTCTACAAATGTATTTGATTCGACACTTTCTAAATTACCGTAAAGTGCTGACTATATTATTCTCCCTTATAACTTTAGACCGTAATTTAACCGCAAAGCTATTATTTCAATAACACAAATTTTCGAAAAAATTACACTGCACTGTGAATCTTGAATTATTTAGTTTGCAGAAAATAATTGGTTTACAAAAAAATTGAATTAACTCAAAGTTTAAATTTTCTACAAATGGGGGTACTATAGTCAGCGCTTTACGGTACAATATTTTCTCATCATTCAAATACTTATGTCGCTTATTGAGTTAAAAGCGTTGCACAAATAAATAAAGGCAATAGAAAACGAAATACTATTATCACTATAGTAGTAATTTCAACTGTGATTTTCCTTGACAATGAACAATAAATTTTCTTTTATTACTTATATAACTTTTCTTTTTAGCTTAAACAAATTGTTTACTATCAAATATAGACAACTACATAAGCAAAATGTCTATCCTATATTAAATTTATCTGATAATTTACTTTTAGTTGACACTAAAATCAACAAGATAACCTCAATAAATAAATCATCTGAGGCTCATTTGATCATTGAACAAAAGATTTTGAGTATGCCAACTTCCTTATAAAGCTTGCAGTGCATCTCTTCTATATTCGTTCATGATATTTTTCGCATGCTCAACTTTTCCAATTACAGGCTGACTTAACAAAAAAATATAACTTAGCATTTTATCATTAATAAAAAAGATTATTTTTATAAACTTGAATTTAGACTCTAAGGATGCGAAAAAGAGAAAGTGACGAACAAGAGATGTTGATAAAAATGAGTAAGTTTCGCAAATACAATTACGGGGGAATTACAATATTTAGGTTATATAATATCGAAGGTTTGTTTAAACTTACAGAGGGATGATTTTCATAATCTCTGCAGCTGCCTCGTTTTATATAAATCGCATTTTATTGTGCTGTTGCATTTGGTGATACTGTATTTACTTCCTCAAAAATAATGATTATTCGTGAAGAAAAGGAATTTTGAGCAGAAAAGTTTGAACAGACTCAGAATTTGTTCTGAAACTGGTAATTTAATGCCCCGGCATCGTATGGTTTTCATTTTGGTTACTAAAGCTACCCGAAATTGGTGATTTAACACTTTGCATCTAAATTGGAGTTATAAAATACTCCATTATCAGTGCTAAAATCACTTGGCGATATGAAAATGCATTCCAAAATTGTTCAAAGATGGTCCGAGGATTCTTGTATTATATTTTATTGTATATTGGCATAGAAAGCAAGCATTGCAATTTAAAATATAAAATCGTAATGCATTATATGATTAGCGTTAGATAGTTAATGTATTTACCATATATTTTAAAGAGTCATTTTCAAAGCTTACGAGATCTCAATTGTGTAAAAACGTTATTTTATATCAGTTTCAGCTACCCTATTGCTCTTGGATATTTCACATTAGACACTACAATAGCGCATATCCTAAAATACACATAAAAACCCAAAAAAATATAGTCTAAGCTTGGTGAACTAGAGATTGTACCCGGATCGGATATAACCAGATCAATCCCGGGTGGGTCAGATATCCGGGTTGTGATCATGACCATCCGGGTGAATGTGGGTGGATCAACCCGCGGGTCAATCCGCAGGTCAATCCACGGGTCAACCCGTTGGTTAACCCATTTATTCGTGTAATGCTACAGATTTTCATTATCTGTATTCTTTATTTTGTACGTACATGTATTACATGTATTTAGTAAATTGTGGCTATGGCTCGCATACGTTATAAAATGCTTATATTCAACATATTGATCGTCGCAAACACTTCATTAATTACAGTCACGATTCGTGCCTCCAAACCAGAGTTAATTAGCTCCCACATCATCTTTGCACTATATAAGGTCGCCGAAAATTCAATTTTTTAATTTTATTTAATCTATCATGTAATCTATCAAAAGGAATATATTCAGCCAATTCACACATCCATCTACACTCCGACATTCTATTAGACCATATGAAATAGCACGGCAAAAAAATAATGCAAATTAAAAAAAAAAACTAATTTTTTAGTTTTTTCTTCGCATAACCGAACATGTACGTACCGATATTAGTTGCCTAACCAGTTATTGACCGGTCAACCAACTGTTTACTGACTGCGGTCAATCGGTCACGAACCAATGGTCGACACTATATGTGGTCAATAAACGAGTGACCCGAAATTCAAAAAGGAAATTGAAACAATAATTGATATTGATAATCAAGTGCTATTGTTAAAATTTCCTTTTGGCACCATCTATAGTAATGGCGACTGGATGGAAATTGAACTGACAGAAAAATCATATGATGAGCTTGGATTAATAAGGAAAGGGGAAGAAAGTTAGTAATTGTTCAAGACAAAAAAGGAAAACGATAGCAACTTATAGAACATCCATTTTGGGTTGAAGAGAAGGGAATGGCGTGGTTTATGCGATGTACAGATTAGTAGCAGTGCGTCTGGAACCTCAGAATCGCAAGATGAACTGATGGAAAAATCGTATGATGAACTCAGATTAATTGTTCGAAGCATTGTGTGTCATGCAGGAAATGTTTGGGACTTTAGATTAGAGATTGAATGTTCATATTTTCATGTAACAAAATCACGTATATAAAAAATATATTCTTGTCTTAATAAAATTAACTTCTGTGTTGGCGTTAAAGTTGAGTGATTCCTCGATACTTGTTCAAGACCCAAAGCAAATTATATACACATTTATGAGGTTTAGATATCAATTCCAAAAAATACCCTGCAACAATTCACTCTTGATAACTGCCAGATCTAACAATACTTTTGATGATCATATTTTTCATGCGTACACATTGATCGTTACAACAGAATCTGAGTCTAAAAGATTTGCAATAGTAATAATTAAGTCATAATTAATAATTGTTTCTTATTACATGTATTATGTAAGATATAAAAATAAATAAATAAAATTTTTGTTGATTGTATTAATTCAGGCCCACATGAATAGCGATAATAAATATACTTATGATAATACATTTGCCAGAAGGAAAGCTACAAAAGAGCCTGCAGATGAACCCGAAAAAAATCTGAGTAAATATCACTAAGCCGGTTAATTCTACGACCAAAAAGTCGAGTTATGTTTGGGATTACTTTCAAAATTGAAGATGGACGTGACATTGCAAAATAATTATGCTTCTAAAGGGTAAATAAGTTGAATGCCAAAGAAGTTATAAGCATGATGGCGGAACCGGAAACATCTCTTATTAAAATATGAAATCTTGTCACCAGATAATGATATCCAGGTGAAAAATACCAGTTGCACATCGATAAAATGGTTAAAAAAAGTAACTTCACATCACGCATTCAAACAAGCAGAATTAATACGAATCACGACTGAATGGATAGTTACTGATTCTTTACCATTCAGCGTTGTCCATGGAAAAGGATATCGAAAAATGATGAATCGATTTGATCCGGCATTCATACCTCTGAGTTATAAAAACATTAAAATGGATCTTACTGCTGCATATCAAAAAAGAGATATTAGAGCTCAATAAATTGATCTTTACCACTTGTGAAAACTGCCTCTATAACAACAGACTTATGGACGGCGCGCAGTAAAGATGGATATATTGGGGTAATACTTCATTGGTTAACTTTAAACTTTGAGATACGTGATGTAATACTAGCTGTTGAACACATGGAATATCCTCATACAGGTGAACGGATCAAATATCTAGATGAAAAGATAAAAGAATATGAATTGTCTGAAAAATAGTTTGTACGATAACAGACAATGGAGCAAAAATGAAAAAAGCCATCAGAATTTGGGACAGTGTAGAATGCCTTTCTTATTCTGCACATACACTTCAACTCACAATAATCCAAGCCTTAAAAGTCATTAAACCGCACACTAAACGAATTCGCAAACTTGTCAAATTTTTTCAATCTTTGAAACAATGTCAACGTCTTGATCAAGCACAAATAGACTTATCTCAACGTAGCAAGACTAATACAAATCCCATTCAATTATATGATTCCAAAAATTTACCTGAAATTTATCTGAGGTAGAAATAGAAACGATGATGATTTATAAATATTTGAGGAAAAAGAGCTTAAGATTTTGCGTACCATCAATGATGTAAAAACTTGGTGGAACTCGACTTATCAATCATGACAACAACTTCTAGCTTTGCGTCAAGCAATTGAGTGACTTTCTGCAACCTTGCATTTACAAAATGAGACAGATGCTAAAGAAGATTCCCGCAAATTGAACCTTTTTATGCTTGAAGAAATTTATTTGAAGAAATAGTAAGAGTGCTTAAACCGTTCAATGAATTAACAACTTACTTTAGTGTAATCCAATACACCACTCATTTGGTCGTTAACCCAAGCATCGAGACATTAAAGCTTGAGTTCGCTAATGGTGCTATATTGAAGTTAAATGAAATCGGAGAAATCATTAATGATGATAGGCTTAATGACAGTATGTCTAAAACGAAATTTATCTAAAATTAAAAAAAAAATTAAAATTTTAACTTTCTTTTGAATTTCAGACGAAATATCATCTGATGACGATTGTGATAAAATCTCTGAGGATGATACACCCCAATAATCAACCACACATAAACACCAACTTCAAAGTGTAACCAACTGCTGAGAGCCACCTTCAAACAAACAAATAATCTCAAAAATTCGAGGAGTAATCTATAATTGATCCAGAATCTTGGATCCACGATTAAAGTCAATGAGTGCATGGTCAAATGAAACGTGAAATGAAATAATTGATATGTTACATACCAAATTTAAAACTTTGCAAAACGTATCTATAGCCGATGAATTGATTAAGCATGCCGAAACGATATACTCTTCATCTGCTCCTTCATTTATGAAAAATTTTTTAGTCACGGTCAAAGTCAAATTAATCATGAAATCGAAATTGATAATTACCTGAACGAAATGATCACACCAGTTCTACCCGAAGATGCTGACGTTTATCAATGTTGGTGTACCGAATAGCATTCCTTTCCCATTCTAAGTAGAATAGCATGTAAGTATTTGTCAATTCCTGCGACCTCCGTTCCAAGCGAACGTCTTTTTTCTGACACAGGAACCATATTACTCCTAAAAGAAACCGTTTGGCATCCGAAGTAGTTAGCAAATTATTATTTGTTAAGCGAAATAGTGTATACTGTAATGTTTGAACTTAATATATGTATTATTAGTATAAATAAAGTTCTGACTGAAGGTATTTTGATAAATCGAAATACTTTCGATAAATTTTTTGAGCTAAAAATAGTAAATCAATATCCGCGTCTTGTTCCCCATATCTACTTATACAGTGGCCGTCATATGTTTTGCATCAAGTAAATAAAAAAATAATAATGGTAATAACATGTTATTAATATGTGCAAATAAATATATACAAAAAGAGAAACTAGAAGTTCCTTAAAATTCATTTAATTACTATTTTTGGAAATAAATCAACATATAATTTACGTACAAAAAATGTACATGTAATATTTCAGCGATGCATTTAGTTTGTTCATTCAAAAGTAAATCCATATAACATTTCCAAATTTATAACAAAACACAACTCGAATAATATATAAAAGTTATAACTATTAATATAGTTTTTCATTTTATTTTAATAAACATATCGTTACATCAATATGAGTCATATCACTATCGAACAAAGATCACGAACTTCTGCCCTTCTTCAAGAAGGATTCTCTTCCCATTATTTCGCATCAAAAGAAATATTGCGCAATCTTCTGTTATCTGACTTTAAAAAAAAATAGAAACTACTGTTTTGTAAAAGATTTACCAAAATCTGGTCACCCACAATTTTTTACAGGCCGTGATGAACGTAATATTATACGATATATTTCGAGTGGTGAATGTTCTAATGCTGTATCAATTCAAAAAATTACAAACTAATAATAAAATCAATGTAAACGATAGTACTATAAGAAGAACTTTACGTAGAAATGGTTTTTTGCTAGAATTAAACGAAAAAAACCATATCTGAAAAAACACATTGAAAATTGCGTTTAAAATTTGCTAAGAAATACAAGGATTGAACGGTGGATGATTGGAACAGGATGATTTGGTCAGACGAGTCTAAGTTTATAATATATGGGTCAGACAGTTGTGAATATTGTTGGAAACGCAAAAATAAACCACTAGATGATCGTCATGTAAAACCTACGATCAAATTTGGTGGCGGAAGTATTATGATCTGGGGTTGCTTTTCTTCCTTCGGCGTTGGTAAAATCATATGCATTTTTGGCACCATGAATAAGGAAGTATACTGCGAAATTTTGAATGATGACTTGTTAGGAACTATCGAGCATTACGAGTTGGATAAGAATAATATCGTTTTCCAACAGGATAACGATCTGGAGCACACGGCTAATTTAACGGAACAACGGTTTTACGATAATGATATTGAGGTATTAGAATGGCCACCACAATCTCCCGATCTCAATCCTATAGAACATCTCTAGAATGAGATGGATATACATTTGAGAAGGTTAAAAAATCCAGTTCGTACTCAAGATGAGTTATGGGAGGCTATTCAAAAAAATGGATAAAAACATATCATAACTTTTTAACTAGTCTAATTGAAAGTATGCCCGAACGAATAAATGATGTAATTGAAACTAAAGGAGAGTATACAGAGTGGTAAAGAATAGTTTATTTAAATTCGTAAATTTTTAGTCGTTAGTTATTTAAATATCGGTTTTAAATCATTTGCATCGTAAACAGTAAAAAAAAACGCATCATGTAAAATTGCATCGATCATTATTATTACAATTTAGTGATTATTAACTAAATAAAGAATTATATTTACATGTTTTGCAACATTTGGTTATATATAATAAAAAAATTATACAATGCACACAACTTAGTCCCAACTACTAAATTTAATAAAATTTAAAATTAATATAAGATTAATATCTAAAATTTGTGCACTTAAAAATTTTTGGTTGGAACTGTATAAATATATTAATTACAATCTAAATATTATATTTGATAAAAAATTAAAATTTTAAAAGTAAAAAAAATATTTATTAATAATAACGTAATATATTAATATTTTTATAATGAATCATATAAACTATAATTCTAAGCAAAGTTATAGTTAGAAGTATAAGCTACAAATTAATATATATTAATAATAAATATTTAAAAAGTTATATAAAATTTACAATAAAAATACTTTAGTTAATATTATAATACTATATATTAATCTAAATTTAAACTTGAATCAAATTCAAACTCAAATAATAGTTCAATTTGAATTTAGTACAAATATTAAATTTTTCTTGAATTCAAGTCAAAATCTAGTTTGAATTTCAAACCAGATTCAAATTCAAATAAAAGTTCAGTTTTTTAATAATATATAAAATAAACAAAGAAAATATTACTAAAAATAATAAATAACAATTTTTAAAATTTTGTAAAGCAAAATTTTTTGAAGAAAAAACCAATTTTATAATAATATAAATTTTCTTCAAAAATAATTAAAAATAAAAAAATCGATAAAATAACTCAATAAATATTATTTATAACTTTTTACAACTTTATTAATAATTTTTTTTATAACTTTATATATTATTTATAACTTTATAATTTTTTATAATATACTTACTTTTTTATAATTTTATTTACAAGTTTTGTATTTTTAATTAGTATAATTATTAAAATTTGTATTTGCAAAAATATATAAATAGTAATAATATCTGAGTTTTGACTCAATATAATATAATAATAATAATTCTTATTAAACAAAATTCTTTTATTAAATAATATTTATTTTTAATTATATACTTCAAATCTTATATATATAACTTTAAATTATATTGGAACTATTAAAATATTGTTATTAGAATTTTTGATTAATAATTTGAAATAAGTATTTTTGTTTTGACTAATTATTTTAATTTTAATTTTTGTTAATTTGAATTTTGACTATTTGATTTTATTAGTCTGATATTGTTTACTTGTAAGAAGAAAAAAGTAAAAGAGTTTTTTATTAATAATTAAATTATTTTGCTCTAAGTTACTTTATATTAATACAAAAAATCAGTATTTCAAAACTTTCTTTTGTTATATATTTTTATTTTTTTTTCTCTTTCAATTTTTATTCTTTTATAATTCTTTCATATTTTTTTTGAACTATTACAATTTCAATAAAAAATTGACAGAAAACTTAGATATCTCTTTTCTTTTAGCATTTAGTTTTTTGTTTAATTCTCTTTTCTATTCAGATTCAAGTTTATAAGCTAATTTACTGATTATAAACAAACTTGTAACAATAATTAATAATATAATTATTATATATAAGAAAGTTTAATTAAATTTAAATAATTCAGATTAAAATTAAAACTTTATTATATAAAATCAAAAATTTTTAAAATTTATAGACAAATTTGCTTGCTTTATAATTTAAGAAATACTTATTAAACAATTTAATATAACTTTGAACTCTATTTAGTTTTTCAAATTTGATAATTTTAACAAACTAAATCGTAAAAATGATAGATTAGTTCAAGCATTATTACTGCTATAACTCACTTTAGTTTATAATTATATATCTTATTAATAAAAGCTCATAATTCGAAATGCCAAAACCAAGAAATTCTGATCTTCAACCAAAAATTTGTTGATCTTTTATAATTCCAAGCAAATTATACTTTAATATAAAATTTTTTCAGCCTTCGGCCAATAAAATACTAGATTTCTGATGACGTAATATACTTTGAAAATTCGGAATGAGTTTGGATGTTACATAACGATAACGATACGTAGTATGTAGAAATATAATGATAGCGATAGGGTTCGCATACAACAAATAATTAACGAAAATAAATATTTTGAAAATCTTGAATTATTAAAGCTTTGACAATTGTTTATTATCGTTAATACGTATTTACGACAATCATTTTTTCCTTATCTGGTAATATTTTACTTTGTTTTTTGTGGCTAACGCTAACGTTAATACTTTAAAGTTCCAGTACATACCGATACAGTATGTATCGGTATCTCGCATTTTGCTCTCATACAATTCTTTTCTATAGCGATTTCTAATCTTTAAAGCAAATACTGTATAATCTCGCATCTAATATTATAAATGACAAGAAAGCTAAATCTCCGATGCTATACACTTCACTTTTTGTTCACACGAAAAACTCTAAGACATTTTCTAATTTCTCTTTTATTTTTTACCCTTATCATTTCATTTGTTCATTATATTTTCGGTTATATGCATGAGCCATGTGAGCGTTTATTTTCTGTGTATTCTCCGAAAACCGGTCAATATCAATACTCTACAACGCCGCCGAATTTCGCGAATTTTGTTAAATGCTGTTTCTCTTCAACTACCAATTCGCAAGGGACCGAGGCTTATTTTGAATTGATACGAGAACAATCTGAATTTGATATTACTCAGAAATTGGAAATAATAAACGCTATAAAAGAATTTTTTTAAACTTGTATTCTCAAAATTTTTTTAAAAAATAATTTAATTATTCTCTATTAGTTTAATTGATTATGTATGCCTTTGTTAAATTACCCTTTACTGTGTTATATACTGTATACCTTTGTTAAATCACCCTTCGCTGTGTTATATATTGACTAAAATTTAAATAAACACTTGTTACAAATAATTGAGTTTGGCAGTGATTGAGAATTTCAAGCAATAAATTGGATAAATTAATGTCAAGTCAGGATTTACTTGATTATAAAAAATCAAATTCAACTAACGGGGGGAATTTTATAGGAGATGAAGTAGGTGGAGATATTGCGATTGAATTGGCATTCTTTAATCTAAGTTTCACATGTTAACGTTAATATTGTATCTGCTTTTATTTTTCTACATCATTATGTACGTAGTCAACCACCAGTTTTACGAAGATCACTATATCGTGGCCGACTGCTAGCTTGTCATGAGACATCATAGTTGATAATGTTGGATAGTAAAACAATGTTCACAAATTCACTGCAATTTAAATGATGATGACAAGAAAAACCCATTGAGACTGTACATTGGAAACTATAGTCAGCTCAATTTTTTCCAATCTAACTTTCTTAATTACTTAAATTATAATTTATGGCATAAATAGAATTCTTATAAACAAAAATTTCTTTCCTTCTTTAATATAAAGAAATACAACTCAAATAAGAACGATAAAAATTATTAACGTTAACGTTAACGTTAATGTAACTTTGATTCTTATTATGCCTCAGAATTTAGTAATTTTTGGGCTCTCTATTATTGTTTACAGGCAAAAACCCATGTAAGTAACACAGACCCTACGGAGGTTCCATGAAAGTATTCTATGCGGAATCCTAGTGGGTTTCCACATAACTTTGAGCATTTTAATCAGAACATGAGAGCGTACCTAACCACAATCAATTACAACAATTTTACAAGTCTAATTTACTTGGAGAAGAATTGTACGCAATTTAATTCTGCATCTTTATTAACATCTTATACGTAACGTAAACATCTTTTTGGGTTACATTATGAAGTATTGTTTCGGAACTTGTTGCATAATGCACTCTATTGTTTAAGAGAGAAATTAATATTGAAAAAGAAATAGAAAACAAGAGCAAGATCAAAAGCGAAAATAAAAGCGAGATCAAAAGCGAAGTTAAGATAGAAATCAAAAGCGAAATTAGAATAGAAAACAAAAGTGAGATAAAAATAGAAAACAACAGCGAAATAAAAATAGAATTTTAAAACGAAATTAAACTAACGAAATCGGGTTAGGCGGATTTTACCAAAATTGAGAGATTAGCGAAATAATTCTGTAGTAAATTCTACCGATCGCGTTATTTTGGCAACTACACCCGGCGTCGACGATCTTCCTGATCCGTTTTCAGCCATTCTTTCCCAAAAAGTCGTAGTTGAGGAAATTTGTTCGCCAGCTCTAATTAAACTCTCGATATAGTAAAGTTGAGCTCAAAAACAGTATATATTAAATCCTCTCGATATAGTGAATTTCTGAAAATTTTTCACTAATAGCCCGAACACCTTCACTATAATGAGGTTTGACTGTACTATTTATCGAATTAGGAAAGCAGTGGCATGTTCCTAATCCGTCCTCCGTCGCTCATTCCCCGAATTAAACCGCATTTGGAGAAGTTTGTCCGCCGGCGGTAACAGTATTCCTTAAATCCAGTCACACGATCAGTCACATGTAAGCCAAGTGGAACGAAGGCGTAATTGAAAAAGGAATAAGTGTTTAAGACTTAATGTTAACGTTAACGTTAAGGAAAAAAGGGAATTAATTATTAGTTGAAATCAGTCTTATGGTGTTCGACAGTTATTGTTTGTTAAATGTGTTTTTTATATACTCCATTATAGTTTCGTTAGACGCTGTACAAGTTACGGTTTAGAGCAAACACCAAAAAGTGCAGATCAACGAACTCGTGTTGTTCTACACTAACGCTAATGAATCTGCCGTTGAACAATGCTTTTTTTTCATATGTGACTACTGAAGCAAAGCAAATTGAAGGTAAACTCTACCAGTCATGCACGGTAATGATTATGACAGTAACATCTAAAAGTTTTGAAAACACATACATGTACATGTAATTAGTAAAATTAGTTTTATACGTACGTACTTATATTGTTTTGCACTAATTTTACTAATTAAAAGCGTGAACAACATATGGTTGGTATAATAACACATTTAACTTAACGTTAATGTGTTATTATACAATATAATTTTCAATTATACATGTAAATTATTATTTATTTAAATGACAATTATTTTTTCAAGTTTACATTCAATTTCTTCGATATACGTACTTTTATCCTTGATCAAATGCATATCATCTAGCCAAACAGAAAGTAACATCCGATTTGGATGTGCATAAATTTAAACGTGGCGTTTTCCCCTTTTTGTTATTGTTGACTGCAAATTTTTTCATTTCTTTCTTTGATAAACATACACTGGGCGAAATTTGTTGGCTGTAAATATAATGTTCTCGTTAATTCAAGAATTATTAGAATTAATGAATTAACAAAGTAATATAACAGTGAAAGAACAAAGACTGAATGATTTACGTTTACTAAAGGTTCTAAAGGTCTCCTGTGGTAGCTTGTACGCAAACTAACTCAATAAAGATAAAAATAGGGATAAATGGGATAGTAAACTAAAAGAATACAGTAGCAGCCATAAGTATCCGAACGCCCGGCATTGCCCAAAATCATACTATACGTAAAGCCAATTCTGCATATACCGATACATGTATTGTATTTTAATATTGATATCAATCATAAACTACAATGGAGCTTAACTTATTGACTTCGCGTTTCGATGATTGTTGGAGACATTCAAGATACTGTGCAAACTTTTACAGCGCATTCGTCAATACTAATATAGCGCAGTCGGAATATTATGCTGTTATACAAGGGTAAAACGAGAACTAAACAAACTGATCGTCTTTAAGAACCGAGTATTAGACCGCGTATTTTTGAAAGTTTATTAAGGTAATCTTAATTTTTAAAAACGTTCTATTAAATTGAAATTAATCTATTATGTTTGAATATATTCAGAATATCTTTTGGAACAACATTCTAAATCTATGGTTGAAAATTTCGCTATGGTCAATCAAGATGCTTTTCAATATTTCTCCTTTATAAAACTCCAGGAATTCTGTACGGAAAGTGCACGTAAAAATCTATGCGGTTTTCAACCCAGCGATTTTGTAGAAAATCAAGAATCTACAATCATCTTTTTGCTCAAACAAGATGATTTGAATCTTAAAGAAATTGAAGTTTGGGAAAAAGTTCTTGAATGGGGAATTGCTCAGGTGTCAGCTTCTGACAATGTCGATTTATCGGTTTCAGTGGATCAGTGGTCACAAAACGAATTCAATCAACTCAGCACTACGCTCAAGAATTGTCTACCATTCGTTTCTGTCATACAAAATTTGTTGATATCTATAACAAAGTGATACTATACAAAGATTTACTTCGTTACTTGGCAAGTGACGAACAACTTTGCCTCATCTGTAATCCACCCAGTTCAGTGTCAACAATTCTTTCTTGCAACCAAATCCAAATCAATAAAATTATTCAATGGGTAAACTAACAAGATAGTAAAAACAATTCATTCGACCTTGACTAATAATTACGTGGCAGCCAAAACGGATTTATTGCTAGTGCTTTCCACCGCTTATGCGATAATAAAGGTTCAACCATTGTATCAAAGATTCCAATAAAATCATTGGTGGTTATAATCCTCTTGGATGGAAATCTCCTTATCAATCTTATTCTGAATTGGCGAGCTTTTTATATAAATTTGATTCTGATGGCAGCATGAAAATGAAGTTTTAAGCAAACATAAATCTGGTCTTAGTGTACAAGACTATAAAAGCATAGGTCCTTGTTTTGAAGGTGGTAGCGACTTGGCTTTGTTTACTTCTTCAGGTAACTATTATTTGAAATCTTCTTATGAGTTTGGTCTTTTAAATGAACTCAATAAACAAATTCCTTTTGATATTGAAGTTTTTCGAATAGTAAAAAAATGAAGCAATAGTTTTATTTTAATTTTCATGTAAATTAAAGGATCGTATCTTTTTGTGTCAGAGAAAGTGTGCATGCATATTGAGTAAATTTATACGGTATAAAAACATTTACAATAAAATATATCAAAGTGAAGTATCGATACATCGATTTGCAATCCAGTTGATGATTCAAAACTACACGAAGGATCTTTCAACATATTTTCTTTCGAAAGTGAAGAATTGAAAGAGAGCTTTAAGAATAAAATGAAGAATCAAAGATAAAGTCAAAATACGAGTCATTACTATTTATGGTATTAATCTGATTTACATACCGATACAAAAAAGGATTCTTCAAAAATTCCTTTGGCTCATTATCAACAAAAATGGAATAAAAAAGACAATATATCGATATTATTAAATACATACTATAGCTTGTAGACTTTTTATTCATGTATCATTCATAACTTTATTTCAAATAGTTATATTAACACGTACCAATAATTTAGTTCTTTCCATTGCAATTGATTTTTAACTCAAAAGAGGCAACTTCATACTATCAAAATTTGTCGAAAAAAATGTAGAAAACAGTCAAAGATCTAAATATAAAAGTTTGCACGAATGCCAATAATGATAAAGATGTAATAAATAAAACAGTTTCATAAGGTAAAGGAATGTTAAAGCAAAGCGTGAAAAACATAATACATGTATAACAACGAGCAAGTCTAAATTGGAAAAACTTATTTCCGCTATTTGCTAAAGTGAGAACAGCTTCGTCTACTTTGGTGGTGCAGCCTTTAAGATGAATCCACAATAATGCTGGCTGGATAATCGTTCATAAAATTGTTAACAATAATACAATATAATATAATAAAACATATAACTTGCCATTCTTCGCGGATTGTTGAATATAATGCAAGTATTTTTTCTGTAACAGTAAAATTCACGAAAAAATAAAGCATAAGAGTCGTCAAAAGCATCAACTGCTTTTTTATTACATTGAAAGAGCAAGCTTAATGTCCTCGTTGACTATGAACCCGTGATAATACATAATCCCTATGGTAGCATTGTGCGTTTTTGCCTATCGATATGGTCTTTGTGGATTGGAATTTTTTTGTACTATAAACAGGTTTTTTGTGTTTTGTATAACGTAATGCGTGTTTCCGATATTCATATAACACGAACACAAGGAACTTCCATTTTCCATTGGTGTTGGGGGGTCATGGGCATGCATACACTTAAAAATCGGAAATTAATTTTATAAATTGAAATGAATTATTGGTGCAGCAGGCATATCGATATACGTAATAAATATTTAACAGGAACGAACGTTCTTTGTTGTGAATGCCAATCAAAACAAATCACGATATTACATGTATTAGGTTTCAACATCATGTTATCGTTATTGTTATTATAAATGAAAAATGAGTGTTGCTCCCATTTTTTTGTTGGAACCCATTTTCTTTCTCATTATCATCGTATCTACGAGTGCTTCAATAAAAAACTCGGATTGGTAAACAAAGTATACACATAAATAAATAAAAAAATTATGGGAAATAGCGTAAAAAAGCCAATACATGTACTTAATCGAAAAGAGTCAAAAATACATCACTCAAAAGACCACAATCAAATCACAAATCGAAATACACATCACCACCACCACCACCACCAAAGAAATCCACAATATTACTCTGAGAAAACGTCCGCACTCATACAAATCCTCTCACTCTACACCTCGCTAAAAGACAGTTGGGCAAATGATAAAGTAATCGAGACAAAACTTTATGACTGGATTATAAAAAACAATTATGAGCCGGAGATGATATTTAGAACGGTGTACAATGAACGAGCTCATGTAAAGTTTGCATCTCTTTTAGCGTTTTTGTATATACGAGGAGTTGGAACGAAGGCTGATGCTGAAGAAGCATTTCGTTTGAGTCATTTTGCCGCGTCGCATGGTGATTTAAGAAGTAAATAGATTTTTGTATTTCTTATCACATTCTATTATATCGATGATTTGACTGTTAATTTTTTTTAATAAAAAGGTCAAAACGATGTTGGATGCTGCTATCAATTCGGAACTGGGACAATAAAGAACGAAAGGAAAGCTTTCATTTGGTATAGAAAATGTGCTGGAGAGGGCAATGTGTCAGGAATATTCAATCTTGGAAGCTGTTATTATCATGGAATCGGGACAGCAGAGTATCATAGTAAGGCTTTTGATTGTTTCTTAAAAGCTGCAGAAGCAGGTTTTGGAACCGCACAAAGTTGTGTTGGACATTGTTATCGGTAAGTTTACATGTATTATTATAAATCTACTAGAATGTGAATGCAAAATGATTGATATGGATGATAAAAAAATAAAGATACGGCAAAGGAACAAAACCCTGCTTGAAAAAAGCACTCTACTGGTACAAACAAGCATCTGATTCAGGAAACGCGCAAGCTCAATCGCATCTCGCGTTCTGTTATCAACAAGGAATCGGGTTGAAAAAAGATGTAGTGTATGCCGTAAAGCTATATGCAAAGTCTGCGAGAAGTGGGAATTGTGGAGCACAGAATGAATTAGGGAATTGTTACATGTAAGTTTTTTTTATCGTGACATAAAAAATACGAGTGAATGTATACTTATTGTATGATTGTTAAAAGATACGGGCTCGGCATAAAAAGAAACGACGTTACTGGATTCTACTGGTACTCGCAATCCGCCAAACGCAAAAACAAACTCGGACAACTCACTGTCGCGCATTCACATAAATGCGGGCAAGGAACCGTGCGTGATATTCATGAGGCGATACGATATTATCGAAAAGCGATTTCGCAAGGTGCAAAGGCGGTGGCGTTTTATGAGTTGATGAATCATTCTTGGATGAGTGATGATTCAAGTGAACGAGTTTTACAATAGCGATAGAATAATTAATTAATGTTGTTAATAGAACTTTTTGTATTTCTATATAATTGTAATTTTATAATGTTTTAATCAATATTTTAGAAATTAGATTTAATATACGTATAGCATTTTTTTTAGCATAAATTGTGATTTAAGAAAATATTTATTTTTTATGGTGCATTTAAATACAAAATACGAAATTTCATGAGAAATATTATTTTTTTTTTAAAATTCCAAAATTATTTACTGAGACTACATGTATTTGCCAAACTATTTTGATCCACAAAATTTTCATACGTACTCGAAATCCAAACCTAAAACTGTAAAAAACAATTAAAGTCAGTTGAATTGCTCTCCACAATCTCCCTCCCAAATTTTATAAACCACAAAAAAACATACCCTCTTATTCTGAAACAATCGCTTCAGATGCCACATCGAGACATAACTATAATTTTGATCCGACCTCACATACAACCAAATAGCACGATGGACGTCCTGCGGGACGCCTCGTCCATTTCGGTAGATTCGCGCGAGGCTTTTACGTGCACTCGTATTTCCGGAATCAGCAGCTTTTTGGTACCAGAATAGTGCTTTTCTCATGTCTTTTCGCACACCTTTTCCTTTTTTTTAGATGTCATTTTTTTGTTATTGAAAATTTTCGATATTTCCCGGATTCAAAAACTTGGACTACAACTTGCCTACTTGATAACAATACCCCAAGTGATCCTGCGCATCATGGAATCCAGTACGAGCACTTTTCTCGAACCAGTATAGTGCCATGTTTAAATCAGCGTCTGTGCCTCGGCCGTTAAAATAAGACCACGCTAATTTGTATTGCGCTACCTATACCAATTCAAAGAATTTCATTCATTAACCAAGAAGAAATAATTTCGGACGATATTAAAATTCGAAATGTTATCGTTAAGATGTATATATACGAACTGGAAATCCACCAGTAGCTGATTTCAAATACCAAAGAAAAGCCATGACATGATCTTGCTTTGTCCCAGCGCCCATCTGATGACACATAGCAGTCTCATTCTGCCCTAATACATCTCCAGCTTCCGCTGCCTTTTTATACCACCCTAAAAAACATTACAATTAATCTCGGAAAAAAAAATGCCAAAAAATTAAAAATAAAGTCATTACCAAAGGCAGCCGTCGGATTTGGCGACGTCCCAACCCCATATAAATATAAAAACGCCAACAAACAAAAATAATCCAAATTATGACGAAGATTATACACCGTCCTAAACACGACCTCGGGCAGATAATTAGACTTATCGAGCCACAGCTTGACATCAACCAATATCACTTCGTCGTACTCCCATCGATTGTTTCCCTCGTTGAATATTGCTAAGAGTTCTTGCGCGACGGGTGTGGAGTATTTCGGGAATTTGGTGTTGTTAGGGCTGTCAATAAGTGTCCATTGTTCATTGAGTTCGTTATTGTCATAATCGTCATTGTCATCGATCGAAAGTGATGTTTCTAAAATGCTGTCGTTGGTGTAGTCTGTAGAATAGTTAGTATATTTTATTAATTGTATTGTGTTTTTTATTTTAGTATTTGTTGTTTCGATTATTTTGTATAGAAATTCCATATCGATATTTTTTTTGATAGCTAATTTTTGTTATAGTTTTGTAACTATCGTTATCGTTGTAAATAAATAATTCAAATTCAATGCGAACAAAACAAACATACCACAAACTATGTATACACACAATCACACGCAGTACAATACATAAATTACGAACCGGTACCCGAAAATTCTATTTTATTACATGCAACATGTATTTATGCCTAAATTTAGTAATGATGATTTTGATCTTACATAGTTCGGAAACGTGTGTGTGAGTAAGTACGTATTACCGTTACATGTACATGTATTTGGTCACTTCCATTCTATAGAGAAAATTAATATTTTTATTTTTGAAACAGAAACTTTATTATTTGAAATAAAAAAATAAAGATGAATTTTCCGTCATCAAATTCTGCATCTAACAGCAACAATAATAATAATCCTATAATATATCAGGACCATTGCCACACTAGCTCGTCTTCAACAATAACGAGACAAATTTATTCCACAGAAAATGACTATGTTCAAGAAACAAAAAATATAAATGACGAGGACAAAGATGACGAATCTAGTCTAATAATCGATGAGCTATTCAAAATATTCACCATTGACAACGACCTCTTTTACGAAGACGATAGAATAGTCGGAGACATCCGAACCTGGCTAAAAAATCACAACAGAACCGCCTCCATCATATTTCCAAGAATTCTCGCGCGACAGGATCTTCCACGATACGCAAGCTTCATCGCATTGTTATACAAATGTGGCATTGGTATTGACGAGGACGAATACGAGGCGTTCAAATGGTACAAAATATCTGCGGACAGTGGGGACATACTCGGACTTAACGATCTAGGGTACTGTTACCGAAATGGTTACGGGACAAAAAAAGATGACAATAAAGCTTTTGAGTGTTTTTTGAGGTCGGGTGAAGGCGGGAACGCGTTTGGACAACGGAACACTGGATTTTGCTATTATCATCAGATTGGGACGAACGCAAATTACGAGTTGGCTGTTAAGTGGTTTCGTAAAGCGGCCAAAGCGGGACATCGTGTTGGGCAGTTTGATTTAGGGTTTTGTTATACGTATGGTATCGGGTTGTCGAGGGTTGAAATGAGAAAGGGGTTTTATTGGTGGGAGAAGGCGGCGGTTGCAGAATGTCCGAGTGCACAAGCTAGTCTTGGCCAAGGTTTTCAGTGTGGAAATGGGACTGTGAGGGATTTGCATGAGGCTATTCGTTGGTATCGACGAGCTTACAAAAATGGAAAATCGAGAGCGCATGATATTTTGCGCTCGTTGTTTTCTCAACATCTTTACGATTGAGAAGAAATTTTTAGAATCATCTATTGTAATTTATTATTGAAGATTGGTTTTTGCAAGCTCAAACTGATTGTTTACTAAAAACCAAAAATTAATCATCCTCGTTTAAAAAAATATTTTTATATCCTGTGTTTAATGAAATTCAGGATTAAATTCATAAAATCCCTTCAATCAAAGTAAACAAATATCCAGAAACGAAAATTGTTACCGATAACACTATGCATCGTTAATTGGTTATTAAATTAATTTTGGATAGAGTGTTGCACGACAGAGAGCGATAGACATTACTTAAGCCCAAGAGTTTTTGTTCCGATTATTATTTGTTACAAAATATACTTTAGAATATTTCATCCAATTATTTTCATGAAAACGAAAACTATGGAAAATTTCTCTGATAACAATACAAGCGCAGAAGACGACGAGATAGAAACAACAATAACATCATCATCATCATCAACAACGCCAACAACGCCAACATCATCATTTTTTTCCAATAAAATAGCAATAATAATCCACGAAAATGATAAATGTATCAATAAGGAAGAGAAAAAGGATAAAGATAAAAAGGAGGAAGAAGAAAATGACGAAATCAGAAACAAAAAATTATCTTTAGCCAATGAAGTCTTGAACATTGTAAACGAATGTAACAATAATTTATTAGATGACGAGGCAATTGTTGTGCATGTCAATGACTGGCTATCGCGAAATAAATACGATTCTGAAGAGATTTTTCGTGTTGTGAGGGATCAGAGTTCACGGATTGAGTATGCGATTTTGCTGGGATTCATGTATCGTTGGGGTTTGTATTTTTTTGGTTATTCAAAGAGTTTTACAGATTAAAATAAATTATTTAATGAATTGAATTTTATTTAGGCATTGGGACAGAAATTGATGAAATACGTGCATTTGCATTTTACAATAAGGTAATAATTGTATTTTACAGTAGTCAGAATTTTTGTATAAAAAAATAATTAAATGATGAATTGAAAAGGCAGCAGAAACTGGCATCCCCCTAGGCCTCTCAGAAGTCGGTTACTGCTTTCTAAACGGAAAAGGCGTCTACCGTGACGAAGAAAAAGCTTTCAGCTATTTCTTACGCGCAGCCGAACTCGGTAATGGTTTCGCACAATGTAGCATTGCATTCTGCTACGATCAAGGAATCGGCGTCGACCGCGACTACTACAAAGCACTAGAATGGTACATAAAGTCTGCAACGGCCGGCAATGCTATCGCGCAACACGATCTCGCCGATTGTTATTACCGCGGTTTAGGAACTCCCGTTAATCAGGTTTTGGCATTGCATTGGTATAGACGATCAGCGGAGAAAGGGCTCGCACGAGGAATATATAAAGTTGGAAATCATTATCAGGAAGGGTTGGGTGCCGTGCAAGATTTGCATGAGGCTATTAGGTGGTATCGGAGGTCGCATCAGGCAGGAGAGACTTATGCTATTTATAGTTTGAGGCTGTTGTTTGCTCATATGAAAAATGACGACTTATAGATTTTTCATCCTAAATCAGCTGAACCTGGCCTGGTAACGTTAAATTCTTTTGTAGCTGTTATGGATCGGGAAGAGGAAGATTGAAATGAAGCAAAAGCGTTCGAGCAATCATAAAGTGCTTTGGAATAAAAATTTCTGCGTGAAAATGGTACCTTTTGGATATCCATTGAATAATTGTACTTATATATAAAGTTTTTTCGCTATGTTGCGTTTTCATCTTTGGTTATTCCTCAAAATCAACGCAACAAAAATCAATTACATGTATAAAGATTTACGTATACGTACATCGATCCCACAATCCAAAACTAGGATATCAACAAAATAAATTATTGGTTGGAACTGATACAGTTGTTCCTCATCTCACGAATTTAAAATGTACATCTAAATTCTTGTCCATTTTTGAGTTTTCTCATGTTATCGGTAAATGGACGAGCCAGACAATGTTCAAGAATAATTTGTAAAATTACTGAGTTTGGCTTATGTAAAACCTCACTCGGAGTATAATGCTTTGAAAGAGTGATGACCTAAGAGCCATTACATTATACAGTGAATTTTTTTCGGATATCTATCGGTATGTCTGGAATCATAAGCCGAAAATCCGCTAAAACGAAATTTTTCGTTCCAAACTTTTATATATTCGGCTTAGCATGAAGTTAATATCGATGAAGAACTTGATAAGCCGAACATTTGGTACTCCCCGAAATTTTCGTCTAAACGAGTTTCACTTGTACCCGAAAAAGTAATGCGCGATTTAAAATTACTTACTAAAATACGTACAAATAAAAAAATTTTTTGTGTGCCATAAGTCTTCAAAATGATAACGATAAATAGAAACATCGATAGAAAAATTTTTCATATACATGTACATGTATAAAGTGGCAATAATTTTTAAATTTTAAATCCCATTCTTGATTCATCGTGATCAGCAAAAATTTTAATGTGAAATTTAAAAACTCCTATTCTTGCGCAGTAAAGCAATAAAGTCACGTTTTTTATAATACCCATAATTTTTTGTCGGTCAACACAATTTTTATGGGGTAAACCAATCAAATCGTAAGATTAATATTGATATGTAACGGGAAATTTTTTTTGAAAAATAGCTTGTATCTCAAAATTCTGTCTATGAAGCTGCTTTCTATGTTCTAATAAAAACTGTTCTGCGAAATTTTACATAATTTCTCATGTCCAATATAACTCCTACTCTAGCCCTAATCATAATCGAAATATTAATAGCATTAATAGCATTTTGGTTATATTGCACATAAGAGTTTATAGTAAGGGATATTTTTTGTTAGAACACTGAAAGCAGTTTAATAGGCATTTCGAGATACAATATATTGTCAAAAATAAACGTTCCCGTTACATATTAATCTTACGATTTGATTGGTTTACCCCATAAAAAATTGTGTTGACCGGACAAAAAATTCTGGGTATTATAAAAACGTGACTTTATCGCTTACTGCGCAAAAACATCAAAAACGTAACCTAAATTTAAGGGTACCTACAGATCCATCAAAAATGTAACTGTTAAGATCACGTGATAATTGATACGTATAGTAAAATTTCGCAAGGAACATTTTTTGTTAGAACATTGGTAAATTTCGAGATATGAACTATTTTCAAAAATAAGCGTTTGTTTTGATATTGCGATTTTACGTATCAAGAATAGCGAGTTTTGAAATTTTAAATTATTGCAGATCATGGTAAATCAAGAACAGTGACTTTAAAATTTAAAAATCATGCCGAAAAATTTTTTTACTTTCCAATCAAAACAGTCCTTGCATTTTAAGTTGCCACAAGTCTTTTAAAAATACAATCAATTAGAAATAATTATTATAAAAAATTTAGATATATAAATAGCTTAAAAATTTCTATTTTTTTATGTGTTTTATTATATAATTTTGGATCGGGCGTTACTTTTTGGAGGTACTGTACATATAGTAATAAATCAATTATTTATTTCGAAATGTCGAGTAAATGATAATGATATCGATATACAATAATAAAAAAACTTCACAGCTCGTATTAGGGTTGGAATGAGATTTATATATTGCTTTGTTTAAAACCCGAACCATTTTAATATATTTCCTTCCGAAACTCAGTTCTATCTTCGCTTTATTGATAATATTTATGCGCAAGTATTTTTTGCTGCGTTTAACATTTTTTCATATATATAAAATAACGCTATTGGCGTTGTAACGCAGGGACTGAAAATATAACCTTAAAAATTTTAGGAACCGTCACCCTAACTCATGATGGCGGCATTGTAACAATAACGAATATCGATATACGTATAAAAAATCGATACGTAACAAATACTGTTAGAAATTATAAAATCTCACAGCAGCAGCAGCATCAAATCGTAATTTGTAGATTTTATAAAGTATAACGTATCGGTATGTGTGTTAAGATATAGATTATCCAAAAATTAAACATGTTTTTTATATATCGATTTGCTGGCAAGTGTAGTCATCTTTGACCTGCTTTTTTCGACGACATAGACTTGAGCTTTTGTGAACAATTTACCAATAATAGGGAAAGCACAAATTTCGACCTTACATTTTTACAAAAAAATTAGTAAGATAAAAAAATTCTAAATTTTATATATCTAATAATTTCTCACCTCCAAATTCAAACTTTCATCAGGTTCAAATGCACCTTCCATCAGCTCCGAATCACAAGGTACATCAGCTCCGTAAAAATTCACCTTCGGAGATGGTTCATGCGCTGACAAATTAAAGAAAAGCACACGAATAACATCACGAATAAGTTGTGGTATCATTTGATGAATGTCCTGGAGTTTCTGTTGATTAGAAATTGTACGAAGCTGATTCAACAAGTCAACTAATTCCTTTGTCAAATGCTTGATAAACAGATGAGATTTCTTGTTGAATGTTCGAGTGCCTAATACGGCAGCTGTCTGTTGACGAATTTTCGCCGGAAGAGTTTTAGTGAGGTCGTCTGTTCCAGAACGGAATTGCCGAAATCGTTTAAATGTACTATATAGTCATTTGATAGTTTGATTATATTTGCCTCGAGATTTTCTTCGAGAGCTGTTTTGTTATTTGGTCGCGAATTTACTACCAATTCGATGTACTGTTGAGTTTTCTCAAGTATCGTTTCAATGATGAGACGTTGAAGAGCGAATTTCAAGATTTGTCTGAAGTCCAGCCCATTAGCGAGTGGTGCCGACGAGATCGAGTTGAAGACATCAATCTCTGAGTGATAGAGTTTCGTGAACTCGATACTTCTTCTACATTCATATTTGTCGAATAATTGAAATGCGGCCCAAATTTGTGAATTCGTTAGCGTGTCTCGAAGGTTAGCAATATTTGTTACAAGCTGAACTGAATTAATTATATTAAAGTCACTGCTGCTGCCGGCATTATTCCATCCACGTTGAGACAACAAATTAACATGTTCTTTGAGACGTTGGTTTTCTTCATGAAAACGTTTATTTTCTTCATGAAAACGGTTGTTTTCTTCATGAAGGCGTTGGTTTCTATTTGTAATTGACTGAAATTTGGAGAGCTATCGAACGGATCAGAAGACGTTATTTGATTATGAGTAGGAATAGAACTAGTAATCTTATTAATATTAGTATTAGTCGGCGGAACAGAAGGAGGAGGGGGTAAAGAACGAATTCTAGGTGACTGAGATTGTTGTTGTGGTGGTTGTTGTGGTTGTGGTTGATGTAGTTGTAGTTGTTGTTCTAGTTGTAGTATTTGTTTAAGAATTGTCATCTTCTCTAGTAATTTCTATATTATAGACTCAGTACTGTGGAGCTCTATAAATATAATACATGTACGTACCAGGTAAATTTTCTGGTAAATAAAAATTGAATCACGATAAACGTAAACGTAAAGTAATTACGTATACAGTACAGTACAATCTTCCAACGTGAAACGTATGACTGGGGATATCGATAAATTAAATATAATTGGCTGAAACTTTTACCTTGTGAAGTGTAAATATGTACCATTCGGATGAGATACTGTGTACGTATCTATTTTTGCATGATTTAGAGTGGTACAGTTATGTCCTTTAGCGTTAGGAAATAAATTTGATAAAATTGCCAGTGTGCACACAAATATACCAGTACAGTAGAACACACACACGTAAAAACGAACAAGATTAAACCTGTTATTATCAATTGAAAAGAACTTCTAATTGGAAATGTGATAAATAAAAAGTGAATTTTAATTTGAAGAATATAAAAGATAAGGCGCTATTTTAAATTCTGACCCGGAGTGCAAAAAAATTTACACCTAAAGAACACGTTTATCGTTGAAGAAATATTTTTAAAATGGGTTTGTAATGATAATTTTTTATTTTTTTTTGCAATATGAAAACTATAATCACTGCTGTAAAATGTCAGGATTCAAATATAATTTACATTTTGACTTTTTTTATTTTTTTTTGAAAACTGCGTGTTGATTAAAGTAAACAACAATCGGATTTTGATACTTCGATCCATCTCAATCACTAACACTTCCCATGAACAATAGTAACGCTGTTGCATTACTGAATACTCAGGACTTCACTTGGTCATTGCCGCCTATCACACCTTAAGACACCTCGTATCAAAATCAACAGATACCCTATTGGCATACAGCAACAGTCTACATGGTCGCTCATGATGAGATGTTAAAGAAAATGCGTCGTCTTCATGATTGAAAATTTATTAATATTATGTAGGTAAATTCCCTAGCGCTAGTGATACAACAAATGGAAATAAATACAAATGGATCTGACCAAGGTACTGGATCAATAGTTAGAGGCGTAATAGGAGGACTGTTAAACGCTGCACTTCTCGGGTTCTTTTATTATAGATTTCGGATTCCCAAAAAAACTAATACAAAGTAATGGGAATCGCAAATACCATTGCCAAATATACCAAATATACTATTCGCGTCAGCTTTATTGACTTTCCAACTTACCATCTGTTGAATATCGTAAGCCTCTTGATGTAGCTAGTCCGAGCCCTACTCTTTTACACGTGCTTTTGTTTTGTTCAGTTTAATATAGAACTTTTACCTTTTTCCATCTCGTCTTTATGTTCTCATTCAATAGGATTAATCAGCTGTACACATAACGATAATATAATAATAACAACGATTACAAAACGCAATAGCTTATACTGAAACAATGAGGATCTGATTTGCGTTTATTGTTATTTGAAAATATTATATTTCCTATTGTATATGTACCGGTACGTAATAGCGATAGCGACACAATTACTAAAATGATAACCACGATTCTATTGAAAAATTATATTTTAGATCGATATACAGTATTGTGCCTTGAATTACACAAAGGATTAATACTGATACCAATACTATCATAAGTTTCTTAACCACTTTTCTAAATCACCAAGAAATTGTTATCGTTATCGTGCATGTACTTTATCGTTATAATCTGACACAAAAACAAAAATTTGCAAATAAGCAATCGAATATAACGATAACGATAATACATGTACGTATTTGATGACGGTTTATTTGTTTGCGAAAAACAAAGCCATCCAATCCAGTAGTAAGCTCAGAAAGAATACGTATTTTACTTAACTCATTTTACTTTGAGTTATGTTAAAAAAACAGACATTGGCTTATTACGAAAAAAGAAAAATTCAAAGAGCGAATTAATAACTATGAACCGAATGATTGATCGGAGAAAGTGTACATGTACGTACTAACGATTCCACAGATCAGGCAAATCGAGTAGCATCAAAAAAATCAGTTATTATTGAGGTACACAAAGAATAAAAATAATCCGGCTTGCTAGTATTAAAAAAGTTTGAATCAAAAAGTACAAAAATACTCCTAATCATAAGCACATGCTTAATGAGAGTGATATATGAAAAAGATCCAAGTATATTAAAGATATAGTGAGAATTGAAGCTATCAAGAAATATAAGTCGCCAATGATAGTTAATGCTGTCCAAAAAGAAATTACAAAATTGATCGAGAATTTAAATGTCAAATATCTGAAAACTCAGGTCATTAACATTAATGAAAACTTGTAGATCTGATAAAATACGTACACATTTTATATTCAAAATATCTAATAAAATTATCAAGGTTTTTGTTTTTCGAACTGAGAATAACCAAAAAATCTACGTAATATATTCTTAACTGATTTGATCTACATTACCAACAAGCATAATTGGTATTTATTCATAGATTCACATTGTTTTGTTAATCAAGAAATAGCATAATGGTTGCAACAATATTAAAAATTATCCAAAAATTTGCTCACCATTAGAATTCATGATACATGCTTTTGGATCAAAGTAGTATAGAAGCAAATGGTGTCATGATTGCTTTTCCTGCCAAAAAAAAACTTGCCAAATTAAGCTTTTATTATTAATTTGCATAGATTCATGATCAAGTATATGAAATATTTCTGCAGTTTTTAAAGGAGAAGCTTGATCTGTTTCACCTAAACCAGCAAGTTGAAGCTTTTTATTTTGTTATCAAGTATTGAAGAGCCTTGCTAAATCAGTAAGAATTCCATATTTTTTCATGGTGACATATTACTATTTTCCTTTAAATAACGAGTTAATGAGGCATAACAATTGTGAACACTTTCAGCCTTATAATCGTTTCAGCTTTATAATCGTTTCCATTGATACATTATAACCGGGTAATAAATTGATAAAGAAAATCTTCTAAATTGCTCATAGATGACATATGCTCATTAGGAGTTTCATAATTTGCAATTTCGTGAAAACAATCAACTGCTCGTAATCATTTTGAGGTACATTTATCAGTATTTGAAACACGAAATATGTTTTGTAACTCAAAGATATCTTTTTCAGTGAGTATCAAATTGGTGTAATTCATAATACATGTAAAAACAAGGTAAAAACTAACAAAAAATTTGCAAATATATAATTTTAAGTGTGATGATATTATGGGTTTCACCGGGTATACGTCATACGCATGGTTAATATAGTTATTCGATAAATAACAAGAATGTATATATTGATATAGAAATAGAAAGTTCGTACATGAATGTATATGTCAAATAACCAAATTAATATTCATTTAGTCATCTTTAAGTCAAGATGGACTATTTTTTAAAATAATAATTTACATTTTTTGAAGAATAATTTGCCTGAAAAATTCATTCTTTTGTAATTACAACTTCATTATGTTATTGATATATAGTAGTAGCTCCAGATAGGATACGTAGATTTACTTTGTGAAAAAGATGGTTTTTAAAATACGTATTGCACACACCGTATAGAGTCATCAAACATTTATATTTTATAAAATGTATAAATTTCTCAACTAAAGCCAAGAAGTTTATACATTTTATAAAATATAAATGTTTGATGACTTTAGATAGTGTGTGCACTTGTTACGTAATACATGTACATGTACTAAGATAGGTTAATTTAACGTTAAAGTGATAACGATAAGAGCGACGCCAATGCTAAGTGTAACTACGTTACGTATACGTACCGATACTGATACATGAACATGTATGCATTTTGTTAATCCTTAATACATGTAAATAAGCGTATCGGTAAATGACAAACTTTCTAACGCTAACGCTAACGCTAATAATCACAATATTGAAATCGGACTGCAAAAAATAAAAGTAAATAACAAAACACAATGGAAAAAAATATACCAGTCGAGGAAGAAGTCCGGATACTAGATCAAGTTCGAGAAATATTCATCGAAGGTAACAATCGATTTGAAGACGATGATTTTATCGAACTCCTAATTAAAACGTGGCTTTCCGATAAAAATACAACGCCCCAAAATATATTCAGCTTGGTAGAAAAACGACAAGATCAAAGTAAATACTGGACATTGTTGGCATTCTTTAACTTGCGCGGATTTGGAACACCATGTAACAACGACAACGCATTTCAATGGTACAAAAAATCCGCTGAAATTGGCGATTCATTAGGTCAACAAGAAATCGGAATCATGTATCTACAAGGCATTGGCACTAACCAGAATCTAAAAGAAGCAGACAAATGGATCTCGAAAGCCGCTGGTAAATATTTACGAGGAGAGAGTGTCGAGATGGATAAATCGCGCGCAATGGACCTTTATTATGAAGCATATGCGGCTATCAGATGTATTTCTACTTTAGTTTCTTCACCTTCACAAACTCCGACTTCAGCTTCATCTCCGCGGAGTTCTGCTGCATCTTTATCTTCACAAAGGACAATTTCGGCATTGTCTCCACAAAGGAAAGAATGTATCGTATGTACAGAGAGTTTTGATATGACACAATTAATTCAAATTTCGATCAATTGTCAGCATGAGAACAATATCTGTCAAGAATGTATTGCGAGACATATTGAACACGAGTTGCAAGATAAGGGAAACACTGAAATTAGATGCATAGATGAAAATTGCAGAAATCTAATGACTGAAGATTATGTCAAAAAATTATCCAGTGAAACGATCTTCGAACGGTGAGCTTTTTGCATTTTTCAACGAAAACTTATTTAAAAAAGAGATAATATTAATTTGCATAATTACATAATTTGAAAAGATATCAGCAATTGTTACTCGTGTCAACACTTTCACAAATAGAAGATTTCTATTGGTGCTTAAATCCAAATTGTCATTCGGGTCAGATTCATTATGAAGGAGGTATGTCATAAACTAATTTAATTTTTCAGTTAATAATCTAAAGCTTAATTAGTGAGAATTTTCAACGTTATCGTTATTCTTTAATTAAAGATGCAGCACCAATAATGACGTGTCAATCCTGCTCAAAAAAAACATGTGTTCTGCATTCACTTCCAATTCCAGATGGCTCACTAAACTGTCAACAATGCATCAATATATCCAAAACATTTGATAATGAGGAAGTCATTGCACAAGAACCTACAGCTCCACAACACATCAACCTTCTATCCACTAAAATAAAATTAACGTCTAATGGATCAAAAGAAAAAAGAAATGAAACTTGTACTGTTGAAAATTATCTAGCTAAACAAATGCTAAAACAAATGCAACAACAAGAGCTAAAGAGACAAGAAGATTTGCAGAAAGAAAGAAATCGACAAATGGAAGAAAAATCAAACGCTTATATTGATTCTATGACAAAAAAGTGTCCGAAATGTAATGTTAATATTGAGAAGAATGATGGATGTGATCATATGAAGTGTCGATGTGAATATGAGTTTTGTTGGCTGTAAGTATTTTTATTTACTCTTGAGGATTTGGTATAAAGTCTATTTCTTAATATGACCTTTTCATTTATTGATAGTTGTTTCGCTAATTATGATGCTATTCGTAAAAATGGAAATGCTTATCACAAGCGAAATTGCAAATATTATGCTTAAAGTGATCCAAGATTTGATTACGTTAAAGTCTAAATTAATAACGATATTATATACTATATCTATCACTGAAATATCTTGTTAATTATATTAATAATAATTTTTCAACCCATAAAATATTTTTGAGTTTACGAAAATATAAATAGGGTATGAATATTATAAGACAAGTGCTAAGCCTTTTATAGTAATATTAATAAAGATTTTTGTTTTTATATAAAATAAAGCTAAAAATTTGTATTTTTTATAAATTTAAAAAAATTATAAAAAATATATATTAAAATACAGAATCTTAGCTTTATTTTGATATAAAATCAAAAAATATTTACTAATAAAAATAAAAATTTTATTATAAAGAGAAAATTTTAATTTTAATTATATTTTATTATTTTTTTTGGATTCCTGATAATTTATTGTAGATATATATATATATTTCTATTCTTATATTTGATAATTTTGATATTAATATAATTATCCAATTAATATAGTCATTTTATTTAATAATTAATAATTATTATAAAAAAAGATAAAATTAATTCTATTATATATAATATATATATTATTTAGATAATTTATTATTAACTTATTATATATATAACACTGAACAGTATAAATATCCAATATTATATTATAGTACCAATTTTGAAATTGCAGATTTTATAATATAATAGCTATTTTGATTAATTATATTTACTTAATTTATATCAAATGATCACATTATCACATTATTTATTAAAAAATAACTTATAAATAATAAAAGAGAATTTTATCTAAGTCATTAAATTAATATTATAACAGTACTTATCTAAATTATAATTTAATACTGATTAATTAAATTATAAAAATATAATAAAATTATATACAAAATGAATGTATCTCCATGCCAAATTTTCAGATTATTATAGAAAATAAAAAACTTTGAATTATTTTACTTTTGAAAATAAAATAAAAAATTCTCATAGAATTGTAACTTTATTAAAAAGTTATCAATCTATAAAAGAATTTTCTTCTATATCCATTGATTATCAAGTTATAAATAATATTTTGTATGAACAAATTACAATTAGATATTTTATGTTAATAATCAAAAATAATACAATCTGGTATTTTATTATAAATAGTATTTTACTATAATAGAATAATTAATTCAGAAATATTTTATAATTAAATACTATCTAATTGATCAATTACTTTAGCTATATTTTGAAAATCTGTCCTACAAACATATTTTCGAGTAATATTTATTTATAATTATAAAAAAATTAATTTTTTATTAGAAATACTATGATTAAATAAATTATAATGCTTAAAACTAAAAAGTTAAAACATAGATTTATTTAATAGGTTTTTTTTCAAAATTTTAGAAACTATTTTTATAGATTGGAAAGAAGTTACCATTTAAATTCTTTGAGGATAACATATAAAAGATTAATAAAATGAATGATCATATTTGTATCACCATAATCCCTCACAATTATTAATAAAAACAGTCGATCATCCATAAATTTGATTTACTAGGATACAAACCAAAATGTATTTTTTTGATCAACCCAGAAAGTAATGGCCGATTGACGTTTAAATTAACATTAAAAATCATAGAAAATGTTTACTTTGAAATTTTTATGGTAACTGTAAATCGATCGGCTGAACACATTTTCATAATACTCTAAAACCAGTTTTTTAATAAAGTTTTCGAGATATTAAAGATTTTTTACAAACGGTTCGGTTAGGGGTTGCCACTAAACAAAAAATTGTTTCCCCAATCTATATTTAGCTAATTCCAAAAATCAGCATAAAATACTAATTATTTCTTAAAATGTTTAAAAAAAGTAAAAAAATTAATCTTTGGAAATTTTTAATAAATAAATTATTACATTAATATTAAAAAAATAGAAAAAAATAGATTAAATATTAATATTTCTAGGATATAAAGTCTTACTTATATATATTATAAAAATATAATTTTAAATTATATATTATTATGTAAAAAAATTATACTAAAAAAACTGCCGGCCCTTATTTTTCTGGGGATTGTACATGTATATTTAGTTGTTAATTTTTCTATACGGAAAATAAAGATGATAGCGATATACATGTACCTACTGGTGAAGTCACATGGAAATTACAATGGTCTGTAAACCCCAACAGAAATTTATAAAGTGACTTTAACATACATGTGCTTATAGAAAGTTGACTCGCGAGCGTACAATGTTAAAAATAAAAAGTAAGTTTTTATGATTTGTGAATATAAAATCAATATCTGTTGTGATAAGAATAAAGGGGGAGGTATGTTTTTAGTTTAGTTTGTTTCTCTTTTACCAATATAATTAAATGCACAATAAATAATCAAATAAACACTCAAAGTTGCTAAGCTAATTTAATATCTCGCATAAAATAATTTGGATACAATCCTGTAAATAATAAAGTGAAAAATAAAATTAGATTAAATATAAATAAAAAATACGTACTGGAATTCATTGACGACTTTTCTAATTTGATACCATAACTCTCAGCCAACTTTCTATGAGATTTATTATCGTTATCGGTAAAGGAATTAAAGGAAAGGTATTCTAAGTTGTGATGAGTAGCCTCCAGAAAGTGAATAAATGCCTCATCCGATATTTGATATACTTGATGTCTTGGCATGTTTATTCTAAGAGATATGTCCAGATGATAAAGATTCGGATATAATTCCATTAAAGTAGACAGATTGTTTTCACTAAGATCGGGCAAATTGATTGTTCGGAGATTGCGAGTATTATGAATAACTAAAGGAAATATCTTGTCAAAGCAAGAATAACGTGAACAATGATAATCTCTTTCTAGACAAAGATGTTGAAGAGTATTGCCGCTAGCTTTGAAGATTTCCTCTAATAGACTAAACGGCGGATCCTCATAACATGAAAAGTCGATCGAGAAATATTCTAATTTTTGAAAAAATTTAGCTGTTTCAAACCAACATGGCTGTTCTAATCCTATGCTATCCCAAAACGATAAACAGATCAGATTAACACACGAGTTCAGTCCTGGAATTACGTTATCAGCATCAAAACACTTAAAGTCCACACTGTAAAATCGAATAGCTCGCAAGTTTTTTGATGAATAATAGAGACCGTTACAAATACTTGCCTCTAACTCGAAAATCTGGTTATCGATTAACTGGAAATTAAAACATTATTATAAAGAGTAAATTCAAAAAAAAATATTATTATGAACAATATACATGCCCTTAACAAATATAATCGTTTATTCAGATTTTTAAAATTTGACTACTCTCTGCCGGCTTGTTTAGTACTTTTGATCGCGGTGTGGGGTAAAAGACATAGTTGGATGCTCTGCAATTCACTTTGTCTATTCATCATGTGTCGCAATGCTATAACTGAATTTTTTTCTACATTTGTGAATGTAAAAAGACCTTCAAATTTGATGCGTTTAATCGAATGGCAGATATCGGCCAGATTCTCAAAGAACACTTGGTAATTTTTTCCTGATGTAGATTCTAAAAGTTTATAGACGTGTAGTTGCTCGAGATTTTCAAATAACTTTTGAGCTCTGCATTCTTAAGGATCAGACTCCAGAATTCATGGTCAATATCAGAACCAAAATCCAAGGAACGCAAAGAGGCCGATTCGGATATTAGAAGTCTGGACAAGGAGATTGCAAATGCTTTGCGTTTATTCGACTGTTTTTTAGTTGGATGATACCAGTCTTGATTTAACCAAGCACCCGCTGCGTTGTATAAATTTGTTAGATCATAATGGCGTACAAACGAAGCATAATTAAATGTTGGTTTTTGTATAGTTTGTGGTCGACTAATTTGGTTGGAATGCAGATACTCCCATGTTTCTTTCGAGAAACTTCCAACATAAACTCCTGCAATACTTTCATATTTATAATGGCTGTGTGGAAAAGGTGATTCCCAAAGAATCGGCACAATTTCTTGACAAAATTGCCGATTGACGAATAGACAATTGAATAAAGATCCTCTATTTAGACTCTTGAAAATTTGTTGACGAATTTCCGTGGGTAATATCGAACTAACTTCCATTTTTCTTAATTAGAAAAAAAATAATAGTTAGTATTCCTTGATATATACATAAAGAATGCATAATAGCAAAGCTTGCCTATATTCTTAAAATGCAGTTTTGTACACGGACACTGTTCACTGAGTCTACTTATACATGTACTGTGTTTCGTACTACAAGTCACTCTCGTTCTAGTTAAACTCTCAATATATTGAAGTTGAGCTCAAAAACAGCCCTCTTAGCGTAGTGTATTTATCAATAAATTTGATTGGCTAATAACCCTAACCCCCTTCTAAATCAATCAATCAAACTCAATTTATTTTAAAATAAAGTTTAATTTGTACTATATGTGCCATCCAATAACAACAATGATCCTAAATTTGAAGATTGTTATGTTGTATGGTGCGGGTAATCTAAAGCCATCCAATGCTGCGTCACTGCTGAATTTTTCGAGTGATGATCATCACATAATATTAACGTGATGAATTTTATTTGAACCAATGAAAATACAATATGTGTCAAGAAGTTAGCGAGAAGTTAAATTAACCAAACTTCCAATAAATGTTATTTGCGCTTGCTTAGCTGGTCCTTGCGGGTAATTATTTTCACAAACAACTTTCATAAAAGTAGATTTTTTGCTAATAATAATGTTTTTAAAACAAAATTTTAAATATTCTTTGTTCAAGTCAAAAATTCGTGGTTTTGCAGTCCAAAATTTATCTATTAATTTCTTGTTCACTTTATACTATCTCTTATATACACATACACATGCACATATATACAAAGTTATTAACAAGTAAATACCAAAATAAAATAAGCACTTCAGATATTATCTGATAGTTATCAAGAAATACTAGAATAATGCTGAGTCAAATTCTGATAATGAGGTACTGAATACTATTTTGATAAAAAGTGAGAGTAAATCTTTGAATGATCAATTTGTAAATATATTACAAAAGTTGAAACTAAATATATTAGAGA